GCGTAAGATTGAAGCCAATTATAGAAAGTTGAATATCGTGTTGTAGTAAAACACCATGAAGAACATACATGAACAAATGAAACTTGAAGTGTGTATATGAAGATATTTTCTCAATACAGAGCTATTTTTTAAAATTTAATAAGTTTCTTATCTATAACGAGAATCATAGAAATAGCTAGATCAAGAGTGAATAGAAATGCCATCAAGTTTTGTAAACACAAGAAAATACTATGGTTATCGGCACTGTTTGATTATAAAAATGCATGATATATATATAGCTGCTACCATATAGTAGCTAGGTAAGAAATAAATTAGAGAATTAAAGAACAAAAAAAAAAGCCTCCACAAAATTTACTCGCAAAAGAATGCATAACTCTCCTGTAACTTAATTTGGCTGGCCAATCTATCTTTCAAAAGACAATGTTGGAAGATAATTATTGTGAGAGCTGGACGCACCTGTATGCCATCCAAAAGTAAGCCAGAAGGTAGTTCCAATTAATAAAGCGTCGAAATCCCAACAGCCAAAAAAATGATGCTGATAGCCATTGTAAGGTTATTTGAATTTATGACTGATAGTTTAAAGATCCAAGTCTCAATTTACAGAATTACCATGATCTGATTTTTTCATCGACTAGTCTCAAGATGACATAAATATGCAAACCATAGCCTTTCTACCCAGCACTTGTGATCTTCATGAAAGCTTCTTTTACAACGATGTTGCAAAGGATCTGAGTACGAGTATCGAATAGTATATTTATTCAAATGTCTGTCAAATCTCTAAAAATTAGGATACGAGGACCTGCAAAAAAATGTCCAAGTATTGGACACAGGTACGAGAACTAGTACCCTTAAAGGATAAAAGAACAATCGCGCCCTCCGCATCCTGATCAAGATGATGCAATATCATGTTGATTGCTTCTTCTTTTTTTCATTGATCTTGATTATTAAAGGCTGCCCTTCTTTTCATGATCATGCATGAGCCAACAGGCCAGTCGCCGAAAGCAACTCACATTAAGCAATGATTTAAAATTGACTTCATATCAAGAAAAAATCTTCCAATAAATCTAAAAAGATAAAAATAAAGGTACCTTTTTCATATAGTAAAAGTGCAAAAAAGTGTCCGCGTTGATGAACTAAAGTGTGAATGAGATCACAGAGATAATGTTACCTGCACTTTAACTTCGTAAATAAACGTCAGCTGTGACATCACTGCAGAAATGGCCCCATTGGACTCGTATGCACATCTGTGACCTTACACCCCGGTTAAGGTATATGTATCTTATATATGTATCTTGCATGTCTTGATCTTACTCTCATGTTACAAACAAGCAAAGAGAAACACTTGACGCTTAAGTGAAGCCATGCCATCAATTGAAGCTCTAGCAATGGCAGGTGTGGACTGTGTGGAGTGTGGCATCAGCCTCGAAGAGAGGGAGCGTAGAGATACCGAGAAGACTCCCCAGCATCTCCTAGCCGATCAAGGCGAAGAAGGGTTGAAAACTCATGAGAAAGATAAGTTGATGGTGGAGCAATGGCTAGTCAAGAATAAGATGGAAGCATGGCCTAAAGTAGCTGCTCCTCCAGTTACTAATGGGGTGTCAAATATTCAGAGTCGATAAAAAAAGCGGTAACATTATGTTGGAGGCTTTCGAATTAATTTCTAGGTGTCTCCATACTCCAAACAATGTTTAGAACAGTATGTTTGACGCCGAGTGAAATAAAAACAGTTTCTTAGGTTTACGTCTATGTATTTGTATAATTTGAAGAATTCTGCTCGTATGAAAGCCCATATAAAATAATTATTAACTATCAAAATTCCAGCAAAATTAAAGTATTTATAACATGAGAAAAATCATATATTAATAAAAATAATTGTGAAAAGTGTGTGTGTGTGTTTTATTTAACTAAAGTCTGGAAAAACAATATGATAAGACGCCATAAATCATAAAATAATGGTTTGAGGTGTTGTGAAATTATTACATAGGCACCACTAATTAAAAAAAAATTGCATTAGGGCAAATTTGATATAAATAGTTGGAAGCAAAATCGAGACTGTATAATTGGATGCCATTTTTTGGGTTTGCCCTCAAAAGTTTAGTGCCAACTTTATTTTGTTGATTGGATTTGAGTTCAACCTGAAAGATTTGAATCTTATGAGGCATTATTTTTAATAGCATCTAAAATTCACTGATTAAAACAAGCCATGGCGATTAAAGGAAGCTCCGGTGATGCAGCTGTCTGCCTCAATGCCCACAACAAGTGTAGGGCTTCAAAAGTTTTCTCATTTTACAGTAAGTGATTTCGACGTGGAAATGGACTGTTTTGATGGGCATGGATGTTAGTAGCAAAGAGAAGAAGGGAGTTTCAGAGGAAGGCTTTCTTTCTTGGAATCTTTACTAGCCGCCACTTTGCTTGTTAATGACAAACTACTCCATGAGCAATAAATATATACGTAAGATTCATATTTTGGCCTTCGGCTCAAACCCAAATCTAGCTCATACCCAAAAATCTAATCTAACATATGTATTTAAAGAGGATTTTTGCGAGGGATTTGTTTTTTCCTTCTTCTCTTCTCCCTCCCTCGTAACTTTTCTCCTAAATATACCAAAGATTCAGCTCTATCTAAACTTCAGCTTTTGGGTTTTGAAAGGTATTAAAGAAACAAGTGGTGGGACTGCCTCTGTGCTGTTTTTTAGTGGGGATTTGATAATTAATAGATTGAAAGCTGTTTTTTACTGTGATAATTAATAGATTGAAAGCTGTTTTTTACTGGGGATTTGATAATTAATAGATTGAAAGAAGTGTTTATGGTTTTTATTATGATTTGATTATTGAATGATTTAAAAAATTTAATTAATATTTTAAGATGTTAATTTGATTTAAAACAATCTTATTAGATAATTGAAATTGAGGATTTTGAAAAATATATTGATTGTTTTAGGATTTTTGCAAATTAAAAAAACTAGCAAATCAAAATTTTAAAAATTCTTATCAACTAATTAACTAGTTGGTCTGAATTGGTCAACCAGTTGGCTTATGATGATGATCAATTGGTTTATTATTTTAGTCGGATGATGATCAATTGGTTTATTATTTTAGCCGACTTATTGACTTAGCAGTAGAAATTAATTAGGTATGTTAGGTTTGATTAGTTTAGGGTATATTCAAGATCGATTGAGTGAGTTAGTTCAACTTTATAATTATATTTTGGTCTCTAAGCTTAAAGTTTTGATCTCTTATATTATTTGCTTTGAGTCAATTTTTAGTATTTTTATGTATCCATTATAGGTTTTGTTAACATTTATATTAGCGATCCTTAAGTTTTCGATTCTATATTTGCTTATTCTTTTTTTTTCAAATGAGTAAGATAATCTTTAATATGCATATAATATAAACACTATATGTATATTGATTATATGATAAGTATAATTGATAAATCCTTGAATATATTTGCTCTATTTTTAAATAATCATTTATTATTGATTTCACACTCACATTCAATAGAATGAATTTTATTCAATATAATCTTTATTTTCTTTGATAACCATACAAGTATATATTATATTTTGATATTGGTATACTTGTCAATAACTTCATGCTAACATAAGTAATTAGTTTATGTATACATAGTATTTTATATGCCTAGCTGATAAGAGAAACACTAGTTTATGGTGATTGATCCTCCCATAGTTATTGAGGCCGCAAACATGATATTGGTATACTTGTCAATAACTTCATGCTAACATAAGTAATTAGTTTATGTATACACAGTATTTTATATGCCTAGCTGATAAGAGAGACACTAGTTTATAGTGATTAATCCTCCCATAGTTATTGAGACCGCAAACATCGTCTGTTATTTGAGCCAATGGCTTTGTCAAATCTTTGACAAGTATTATATTACCATATACTATTATGCTTAGTGTGTGTGTCTATTTTAATCCTTATACTTATAAATAGCTGAAATGTATATTAAATAGTATTCTATTACTGAGTTGGTTGAACTCCTCTTTATTTTAATATTATTTCATATTCTTAAATTATATTAGCAGGTTGACCTTTGATTTAAAGTTCCTATTACTTTGTTGGTATGGCTTGCTTGCTTCCACAAGCCTCTTTTTTATATATATAATTTAATGTCTTAGACACTCTATTTACGCTGTATTCATTTAAGTATAGATTTTTATTTTAAAAATTTAATTTAATTTAATTTAATAAGCATTTTAAATTATGAATTGTTTTATTAATTTTAAGGAATATTTGAAGATTATAAAGTGTTGCATGAATTTTATATATATTTGTTTTATGATATACATATTCTAAGACTTACCATAAATGATGTATCCTTGTTCATGTATTGTCAGTTACGTACCTGAGATTCGAGTAATGACACTTGCAAATAGAAACATCTTTGAGATTAATTTCGGGTTTGCTTACTTGGTATTATGTGACGTCAGATATATGGCAGCTTGAATGAGTGACTAAAATTTTCTTTTAGATTTTCTTTGTTTGGGTAGTTTACGGAAATATACTGAGGAATAATGTTTCTGATTGAGGTTGAATAGAATGGACCGTGTGCATTTCTGTATCCGCTATTTAGCTTCATGGGTCCTGACTGCACTTTTGGAAAGGTTGATGCACTCACTGCCTCCCACTACCACTGGTAGTCTCTTGCCACTTGCATAATTTTCTCGTTCGATAAATTTGCCATAGCATGCTCCAGCAAGGACCTTGAGAGAGAGTTCAGTAGATAATTCAGGGAGCTTGCGGTAATCACAAGTAAAGATTTTGCATCTTGGCACCACTCTTCACGATAAGAAAATTTCAATCACATTAATGATTATCCATGACCGATTTTGGCTGGTAAAACTTGATGAAGAGTCTTGGAGCTTACAGGTATTATCAGTCAAAGCATCGACAACGGCACGAGAAAATCCTGGATCTTTGGACCACAGGCTTGGAAGGGAAACGTTAGTTGCAATTTCACCGTTGGAATGAAATGGAAATAGACAACCTCATATCCTTTGTGTTATATATTACATTTCGTTTTAATGAAAGGTCGCTTCAATATTGTCTGACAGAGCAAAATCCTAGAAAACAAGTGTGAAATGACGTTGAAATTGGTGGAAATACAGCAGGCAAAAGCCTAAGCAGGAAGCTCAAGAGTCGAAATACCATTTTCTTGGGATAAATAATAGAGCTACGATTATGAAACTGGAAAAAAAAAAAAAAAAGAGCTTTCAAATTTTGGGAGTTGTAGAGACCATCTGACTTCGGAAGCAGGACAAATTGGTGAACTTACATTGGAGGTCGGAGAAACCTTGCAGACGCCCACCATATCAACGCCAAAATAGTTTCATCGCAGACAAAATAGGAGCTCACACAAAGGAAGAACGAGGAGCCTACATGAGCAACTGTCATAAAAATTATGAAAGCACATTCTTTCCTTTATTTTCATGTATCTGTTTTCGTTCGAGGAAAACATCAAGCTAATGTAAATGGAAATTACATACTTTAAATGCACCGGAGAATTCATTTCCTCATCTTCCACCAGATAACTCAATAGCATCTTGGTTATAAAGTGAATCTTCTCCCAAGTCAAATCTTCTCTGCAATCTGCTGTATTCTTCCCTTCTTGTAACTTCAACGTGCTGCCATTCTTCCCACCTTTCAGCAAGCCCCTCTCCTTCTAGCATCCGCACAACCTCTGACATTGCTGGACGGTCCTCTGGCGATGCTTGGGTACAGAGCAAAGCAACTTTTATCATCATCTCCACCTCCTGGATGTTGTAGTTTTTATTCAAGTTGCGATCTACAATAGCATCCAGTCGTTTCTCCCTCTCCAGCTTCTTGACCTTCATAATAAAACATCCATAGAAGAATTACTAGCGAGTCAGAAAGTTGCATGACATGAAAATTAAAACATGCTAGAAAGAATAGACATCTGCAAATGATGTCATAACTCCATGCAAAAAAATAGATAATAAAGGTGGGGTCGAGAGAGACATGCATGCAAAGCAACCAAAAAATGATAATGGATAGCTGTAATTAGCTATGGTTATCTTACATGGTCAAGCAATAGGACATCATCTTCTTCTTCCAGGCGTGAAAAGTCAATTGCACGTTGACCTGTAACAAGCTCCAGAAGCATTATCCCATACCCAAAGACATCAGTCCTTCCAGATGACTTGCCAGTGGACAAGTATTCTGGTGCTATGTGGCCCATTGTCCCACGAACTTGAGTAGTCACATTAGTCTTTCTCACATCCATCAGCTTTGCAAGGCCAAAATCACCAACAACTGCTTCAAAATCTTCATCAAGTAGTACATTAGCTGCTTTCACATCACGATGAATAATTTTAGGATTGCAGTGCTCATGAAGGTATTCCAGCCCACGTGCTGCACCTAAGGCCACTCTTTTTCTGGTTGTCCAATCTAAAACAGGCTCCTCAGGTTTACGCTCTGCAGGTGAAGATCAAAAATTAAACCTCACTCGAAATTTATTCCACAGAAAAATTTATAAAACAATACATTAGCCTATAATTTGTATATTTTATAGTTGATATTAGATATTACAAGGGAAAGAGGTACATATATTCAACAAGCATACTGCATACATAAACTATTGCTATTTGGATGTTCAAAGGATTCAGCAGATCCTTGTCCTACTCATCATTAGGTTAGTACCAGAAGTAGTTCAATGCTGCCAATAACTATTACTAAATATCAAACTCTAAGCTGCATAATTGACAAACAAGCTTCTCCAAAATATCACAATATTCAAATTGTCCACACTTTCCTTTCACTGTTACCCTTCTGTTTTTATTTTTGTGACATTTGACTTATTTATGAATGGCAGATGTCATTGCATCTCATGATCGCTAATCTTTTTTGAAAATCCAACTCCTATTGGGCACACACCTGATGGAGTCATTAATCAGATTAATAGCTAGAAATAAATTTTTATTTCCTACCTAATAGTAGCTGACTTTGGATTTCATTTTAGAATATCTATACCTATTTTGTGGTAGGTTTTGGTGCCGACAGTGCATCCATTCTGTGTTTTGGGAAAAAAGTACGATGAATGATTAATAAGAATTTGCTACTAGAGCTTATCCCTCTTAATAAAAAAAATCAAGGAGGCTGCCAAGCTATTGCTAGGGTTTACTTTAGCTTCTTTATTCTATCATCTTGTCCTGCATCATGCTTCTAAAACTGGGAATTAAATTCTCTCATACTCTGATGGAAACAAAATCAGGTCAGGTTCCAAATATCACAACTTTTTCGCATTCAATGATTTAAAATATGTTAGAGAAACATAATATCAAATGATAATATATATGTACACACACGCCCATTCATTCTGAGTTTAATCATTTAGATTCAACAAAAATGAGAGGAATGAACATGAGATAGTCTCAATCCATAAAACTGACCATACTTGCTAAACAGAAAATGATTATTGACAATTACCTCAGATGCAGATAATTGAACAAAACAATTAAATATGTTAGCAGTTCCTCTCAAAATCCTGTGCATAAATAACTAATACCTCTTAGACGATAGGCCACACTTAAATTCTGCATGAATGGATACACCAAGAGGCGTTCTGTAGTTGTTGTGCAAAACCCTATCAGACGTAATAGGTTCCTGTGAACAGCTACACTTATCATCTCAACTTCACGTTGGAATGCTGCATCACCCCCAGGACTTTCAAAATCAGTTAAACGCTTCACGGCAACTTTGGTGTTATCAGCAAGCACTCCTTTATAAACTTTTCCAAATCCTCCTTGTCCAAGGATATTTTCCTCACTGAAGTTGTCTGTGGCGAGCTGCAATTCCCTCCATGCAAATCGTTTTAACTGACCAAATGCTATTCTTCGATCGACTTCACCTAAGCAAATGGTAAGAAGGGCATTCAGAAAAAAATTAAGTGCGGGAACTCAAATTCTTTAATTGTCATTTTTTTAAAAAAAAAAAAGAACAATGTTTTACATTTTGTATAAATTCTCAAACTTTCATGATTTCTAGAAAAGAGAACATATGTTTTCTTTGTGTGCCAACAATTTGATCCAAGAAGTTGCACCAATCAATCACGAATAAACACATATATTAGATTCCATTTTCAGTCACAAGAGGAAATGTTCATTGAAATAGAAGAGTTTTCAAGCAGACAGGATTTTTGAACAATTTAAACCCTAGACAAATTATCTGAATCACTATAGGATGGCTATAAGTATGAGAGTTCAATTCGTGAAGAGACACAAAAAGATTTTTACTAAAATTCATCCAAGATGGAAAGTAGTTATGTAATACCTATAATTGCACAAAATTATACATGTTACTACAAATATCCCATAGTATCAAGACTAAAACAATATATGCAGCGTTATGAGCTTTTCTGCTTGTTTGGCCTAATTATGCATCAATTATAGGCAAGTAAAAAAAATTCATAAGATAAAATCATGATAGAATTCAGCTAACCTCATTCTCTTTGGATTGCAGTCTAATTTGTTGATGTGCTCTTTTGAGCTAAATTTTCAACAAAATCATAAAGTGATTTTTATTTAAATAGAAGGAAGCTCATTTTTTTTCTTCTCATAGCATGTTCAATGACTGGCTCTAGTTAAGCTGAGTAGACGCATTAGGAACAAATATGAACCCATAGCAAGTGGCTAGAAGGCATGCATGTTACATCCACTCATCAAACACTAACTGCTAAATGGAACATATATTCCACTAATACACTTCAGTTAAAGGAAAAATAAGTGCCAATGTTCGACAGTATTTTTCACTAATCCTCATTTGTCGTTCAGTAAATTGTATATGTTACCTGAAGTATGGATACATAACATAAAGACTGTTATTGTAACCTTTTATCACATTTTATGATCATTAAAAATTAGCTTTGTAAAGAGTTAAAAAAAAGGTTATTTGTCACTACAATTAAATTTTTTGCAAAAAACAGTGTAAACTAAATTTCAAATTCCATAGTGGTGTAAATGAAGTCAGCTTAGTTCAGCCATGAATTGAAGCTTTAATGAAAGGAATTTTAGCACATCTAAGACAATAATTTGGCAAAGACAAGCAAAGATTGTCAGAGAAAAAAAGCAAAACAGGACTGGCCAAAATTGTGACATGATCTATTATATCTATTTATTTCTGTGCAGCTAGTAGCAGCAATGCAATTATTTGCTATGTGCTTAAGGCAACTCAAACCTGCAACATCTACAAATATTTCACGTTTGTAGCCTTTGCGTCTACCCTTGCAAACAAAAAATAGCAAGCCTCCAAACAGAAAAAGAACTACAAATCCTCCCACAACTCCAACTACAATTCCAATCTTTGACTTACGTGAACCACCTGCCAACGGATGAAAGGATTAGCAATAAGCTTCAAGAAAACATAACTTTAACAAGTGCTGTTCAAAAAGCATCTCCAATAAATCAAAACAAGTACAATTACCTGAATCACCGCTATAAGATTCACAGAGATGCAAATTCAGCCCACCACAATTTAAGTGGTTTCCTGTAAAACTGAAATAATTGACAGAAATTCAAATTAAGTTAAATTTTGACAGTTACATGACATAGACCACACGTGTGCGCACACGCATGAAAGAAACAAAAAAGAATAAGTCTAAATGAAAAAATTAGGAGTTGAGCTAGCAATAATTCAATATTCGTTCATACTTGTATTTAGGAATTTGGAATAAATGATTAGGAACTTGACCACTGAGATTATTTGAATCGAGCAGACTGCAAAGAAAATTTCACCCATGTCATCAAAATCTTGAAATAAGGGATATAAAGCTATATGATTCAAGTGGGACTGTAAGAATAATTTAGGAATATCCCAATCTGGAGTCAACAGACAGCTCAGTTATCCTGTATCATCTAGGCATTGAACAGGACACCATCACTTACATATTGATTAAGTTTTGAAGACTAGCAAGTGATTCAGGGATAGCTCCACTGAGATTGTTTTGACTCAATGTCCTGCTTGCATGATAAGAAAATCATATCAATCATGATGAAGTTTGGAAACATGTAGATATAACTCATATACCTCTAAGGACAAGGGGAACAGAGGGTATCACTTACAAAAATTGTAGTTTTTTAAGATCACCCAGGGAAGATGGTATTTCACCACTTAAACGATTATTTTCCAAATCCAAGCTGGTCAAACTTGACAAATTTCCGAACTCTTTTGGTATCCCACCAGTTATGCCATTCCCTTTCAGTGTTCTGCATGATGAATGCAATCTAGTATATATTATTATCCAATTTGAATATTTACAATCAACACGCTAAAAAGCCATTCAAAGGGAGGTAACTTGAAGCTTTATGAAACACAAATAAAAATTTCTCGTCAACAAAATCAATTACCTTGAAAGCATCCAAAGGTTAATGTGAAAACATTTTCTACATGTATAAATCTATTAGAGATTCTGAGTGTATTATATGGGCATGTTTTCTCAACAACAAAATCAATTACCTTGAAAGCCATCCAAAGGTTAACGTGAAAACATTGTCTACATATATATATCTATTACAGAGTCTGAGTGTATTATGTCATGGGCATGTTTGTCATAACCCATTTTTAGGTTATTCCCCGATTCATATTTTTCTCTCTTCAAAAAATTAATAAAATACAAAAAATCAAGAAAATATTATCAAAAATATAACAGTGAAAAAAAAGATGCTTAGAGCGCCCTAAAAATGATCAAAAATTGGTTGAGGATGTTCAAAATTACAAAAATTAAAATTTAGCGGTATTTTAATGACTGATGATAGCCCTGTTGACAAAGAAAATTCAATTTGAGTAAGAAAAGTTCAAAATCAGATGTTTATGGACTCAATTAAATTTTATTGAAGGTTTAATTGAATTTATGAAGAGTTTGATTGCAAGAAAAATTGATTTTGGAGTCAATTTAGGCTTTAATTGGAAGAAATTAAAGTTTTAAGGTCAAATTATAATTTTTGAAAGTTAATTTAGTAAAATCAGGGGCTTAATTATATAAATATTGAAGTTTGATAGCCAATTAAAAACTTAATTTAAGAAATCCAAAACCAGAGACCAAAATAAAAAAAAACATGTAAATAAAAGGGTTGTAAGTAAAACCGGATCAGGGGCCTAATTGAAAAAATTAGAAGTTTAATGATCAATTGAGCAATTGCATAATTTCAAGACCAAGGATCAAAGTGAAAAAACAGTCAACTTCAGGGCTACTATTTGATTCTTGGTAGGGATACAAGTGCATTGATTATTAAATTAAAATTGCAATTTAGGACTTGATTGAACAAATTACAAATTAAGGATCAATTTGAAATTTAACACATTTTGCCGCCTTTTCTTTTTAAATGAAATAGTGTGTTTTGTCCAAAATGACGTCATTTCATACACAGTCCATTTACACAAAAAAGGGCCTGAAATGGTGCCATTTTAAACAGCACCATCATCTTCTTCCCCTGGACGAGCGAGGCGGGGGAAAAAGAAGATTTTTCTTCCTCGGTTTGCACCGACTTCCCCTTTTCAAAAAGACATTGCCTCCCTTTTAAAAGATGTCGACTTGTTGACCACTTGCCACGTGTTGGAAGAGCGGCAACACAGTGGCCACCCCAGCCATATCCCTCCCCTGTTTTTGGCGATAAAAACAAAAGGGGCAAACAGAAATGAACAAAACCAAGACCCACAAAGAGAACAAAAAAACAAAGAGAGACAACGAAAGAGAGGGAGCAGAATAGGAGAGAACTGGAAAAAAAAACAAAGAAACAAGAAGAAGGTAGTAAAGAAAAAAACAGAAGAAGAGCAAAAAAACAGAGGAGAGAAGAGAGAAAGACCACCGCCTGGAGCCGCCGCCATTTCGCTGCCAACACCTCTGCCATTGAGAGCACCATCGTGAGCCTCCACAAAGACCACCGCCTGGAGCCGCCGCCATATCGCTGCCAGCACCTCTGCCATTGAGAGCACCATCGTGAGCCTCCACAACAACTACCGCAAGTTAATTCCCCCGCCTTTCTCTTCTTCCTTATTCACCCCATATGCCTTATGTTCATTTTGCATGTAGAACGTGAGCTCGTTCTGCAGCAAAATGAACATAATTATCTGGTTACTGTGTTGTGCACAGTAACCAACCAATTATAGTATAATGGGCCAACCTTGACCCATTTTGCATGTTGAGCTGATCCTGGCCCATTTTATTTATGTTGCACCGGTGCTAGTTCATTTTCATTATCTTGGGCCAGTGTTGGCCCTTTTTTTTTTTGGCCAGTGCTGGCCCATTTGAACCAAAAAACATTAGTGATTTTCTCGTGTTTTTATTTTATCAATTTTGGTTAATATCGGTCTATATTTTACTTTGAAAAATACAAATCTAATATTAAAATACCTGATTTTCATCAAAACGTCCAAAAATGCAAATTAAAATACCTGATTTTCATCAAAACGTTCAAAAATGCAAAAAAAAAATGAAAAAAATAAAAAAATATTTTTATGCATAAGGCCAAGTGTCTCAAAGCTAAAAAATCATATTGTGTTTTTCATATACCAAAAAACGATATTTTAGCACGTATTTTTAGCTTTAATAACTAATTTATTAAAATCAAGAGAACAATGGCCAAAATTTCAAAAAATAACAAAAAATTTATTTTGGTTGTCTCTTAGTATCCGGGATACGACATTACACGTAATACGTATTCCGAATATTTATTTTTTTCAGACTCGGACAATAGAACGGTTAGGTTTTTACCCGATAAGATAAGGATTTCCTTACAAAGGAGAACTTTTCTTAAACCATAGACAGACTGATAAATTTTAGACAACACAACCGACTTTAGATTTTATCAGACAAAACAATGCAGCCTGCCTTAGGTAAGACGTATTTAGAGTGCTAATACCTTCTCTTTATGCAACCAGTCTCCGTACCTGATCTCTAAAACCAGTTAGGGTTCCTAGTGATCAGAATACTACGTGGCGACTTTCATTCCAATTTTTCACTGATAAGAGACAAGAATTCCTTGTCTTTTCATATTTTCCCAGAAATACATTATTCTATTTTTTTCTGAAGGGTGGATGATCGTCGCGATGCCGCACACATGCGACAATGTTCATGTCCATTGGTGATGCCATGTGTGTGAGTATGTTAGCATGCACATGTGATAGGGGAAAGAGTCAACCCAGCAACTGTAATGCCATGACCTAAATGAAGTGATTACCATGGATGGAAATTCTGAACTAAAAAGATTTCTCTCGCACCACTCTAAAGAAATAAAATGCCAAATTGACTGACTATCAAAGTCTAAAAGGTTGAACTAACTTTTTCCCACAATTACTAGTGAAGTAGTATATGCACTCTAATCATACAGCCTTATACAATTAGAACCATCCATAATAATAACTATCCTCTCACACCCTAAGTAGTTTATATCATATACTTAGCTTATCAATCTCTCAAAAAATTATGACGGTCCCAAACTGATCCAACCAAATCATCACTTTTGACATCTCATCCTTTGGCAATCTTAAATGTGTTTAGTAAGACAAAGTCAATGCTTGTGATAGAGATCATATAGTAATACATATAAAAAAAAACACATAGTTTCAGCTTTCAAATAGCAAAATATATGATAACTAAAGTCACAAAGATGTTTATAAGATAGGTTTGTAAAATAAGTTCACGTTCCTGCATTAAAGCATAATTATTATACCCAACCCAGCCCGGGACATAGCCAATCCATCCCCTGGCTCGGTTTAAAAAAAAAGTCAACCCAGCAGATCAATCAATAACGGTCAAAACCCAATTTGACTTAAAAAAATCTTCAAAACAACATCGTTTTAATTTTAAAAAAAATTACCCGGGTTAACCCAAGTCGTGACCCAATGGTTAGGCCAGGTCAAGGGCTGGGCCAGGTTTAGTAGCCTTGCATCAGAGTAATATCTGTGTAGACAATTGAAGGTTAGTTTCTATGACCATTTTTAATATAAGAACTTAAAGGTCAGGTGTGTTAGAACCATCTCAACCTAATAGCTTAAGCTGTTAAGTGAGGTCCCTAGATATAATTTATATTATTCTCTAACATACCCCTTCAAGTGAAAGCTTTTTAGGCTTGAAACTTGCACAGACTCACATTACCTTGTCCTGAATTTTTATGAATTAAATAGAGATGATGAGATTCGAACTTGAAACCATTTGATCATTAAAGCTCTGATACTATATCAAAGAATCATCTCAACCAAATAACTTAAGCTGTTAGGTGAGGTCTCAGGATCTAATTTATATTATTCTCTAACAAGGAGAAGGGGAAAGAAAGGTTGGATCTTTGACACTAACAATTTCTTATTGTTAAGAAATCAAACTTAAGTAGCACTAATCAATTGTTTATGTAACTCCATTAGATATCTCGTTTTATTGGAAATTTTCTTTTGCAAGTGTGCACACAGGGGGTTAGCATCTCATGTGTGATTCAAGTTTTATCACTGCTGATTAAGATCCATAAAATTGCTTTTGAGAATGAAATGCACCTACTTTGGAAAGAAAAAAGGAATGAAACAATTGCCCTCACAAAAACCAAATTTATCAAGAAAGCAAAATTCTGTGTTGAAACAACATACACCATACGTACAGTGTAGTGAGAGTCCTTAGAGTTCCTATCATAGGAGACAAGGTCCCAGAACAGTTGATGTCAGATAGCGTTCTGCAAACAGGTAAGATATAAGTATACCCAATGTGTAAGATAACATGCAATTCAACTAAAGGACATAATATTGCAGGAACACTAAATTATTTTATACATATTTATCATCTGGAAACAGCTGAAAGAAGAGGTAAAACCACACTGAAGAAAACATACAGAGAAATGACATTATTGCTTTTGTCACAGATAACATTCGTCCAAGTGCAAGGATTAACTTGATTCTGGTTCCAGTCTGTCAATTGATTGTTTGGAATATTCATCGAAAGCTTCAATGCAAATAGGGCATCTCCTGCAACCAAAAGTATTATTTACCATGTAGTAAGTTTATCATCTTAGCCTGTTCAATCAGTGCTGAAAAAGGAAACTTGCAATAACTTAGTGCAGAAATTAAATCATAGAAGAGGATGAATGGCAGCCTTCTCAATTTTCATTGAATGTTCATTATATCCATCTAATCACCGAGTTCACATCTATTAACATCTAAAACATGTGCATGCACTCACAGAGAGGTCATATTATCAGTCAAAGTGCTCATGTATTGAGCTCGCCCTTTCAACCACATAAGGATTTTAAATAGTTTAGCCCTTTCATCCTTCCCACATAAATTCAGCATATAAAGATATTCTCAAAAACAACAAATACAGATAACTGGAATGACATCAGTCCAGATGTTTGTAGAATTACTTAAGTGTCAGATCAATTTGGAGAGAAAGATTGAACAGATTGTGGTTTGCTTCATCTATCATTGTCTTAATGATGTCAAAATGGCCACGTCAAGTAAAAACAGCAAGTTAGCTTATCAGAGAAGGGACACAACACCTTGTGGGTCAGACAATACAAAGGATTGCAAGTAAGCCAATATTAAGGCTGCAAAGAGCATTTCCATCTTCAATGACATCAACCCAGGCGCTCGATCCATTGAAACACACGAACCCAAGTGAAGATAGAAGTAAATTCCATCTGTGAAAAAATGGCATCGGTTTGAGTCATAAATGTTTGGATTACAAGATAGTGAATGCACTGCGGGGAAAGTTCATTCATACACAAGGGAAAAGTTAAGCAGACCAAGCAGCATACACACTAGCATGGACAGATCTTTTGCTAGCAAGGAGAGGTCCTCGAGTTCATAAGATGATAATGAATGAGCTTAACTGCCAGGTCCTTCCATAAACAGATGTTTACACTTAAATTGTCACCAAAAACTAGGTGTATGTAACAGTAATATTTCCACGCAATCAATCTAATTGTCAGACGAGATTTTTTGAAGCCACTGCCAGGAGAGAGAAAAGTGTCATTCAGTCAAAACAAAAACAAGGAGGCAATCACAACAGGGTTGGGGGGCTTATGACTTCAAGTAATATCTATCTAGAAATAAACAGGAGTTGACTAATTTAAGAAATCATTTTTCACGTAAGAACTCAAGATTGCACTTAAGCCAACGATTCCTCTCTCAGGTCATAACATAGTATTGATGATATATAACTAGTGCCAGAGAAAATCAAGCAGAGTATAATTTCCATTTCTGATGAAAACTTCCTCTAATTCCAGAAGAAGATGCAAAGAATCATCCAAATAGAACTCTAAATCAATTTACTACGGATTTTAGCACTTAATACAAGACAACTAAACAGAAAAGGAAAAAATAAAAAGAGAAGCATGAACATGACATAATACAAGACACTCTTGGGTCTTTCAAATTAAGCCTAACCATTCTATTGAATTCAAAATCACAATTTTTATATGTGCTGACATATTCTCATGAACCAAACAAAGCTTCAAGCTTCAAGCTTAGGAACCAAAACAAAAGAATCCAGACCCAGAAAAAGAAACCTAAAAAAGAAAAAAGAAAACATACCAGATTCATGAAATGAGCACAGAAACGGTGAACTTGAAAAAACACAAAGGTACCTCCTTTAAGAGAAAAAAGAACCAAACTTTAAGCGGAGGAATTATCAAGAAAGGTAAAGTACTTAATGGGGTTTAAGAGGGCGAATCATAGTTGGGGCTTTTTGTGAGTGTCAGTGATTGAGCTGTCTTCTATCTGCTTTAGCCAAACTATCAAAGGGGGTCTGTGTCTGTGTGCTTGTTCCACTTACAGATGTTTGTTTTCTGTTTTTAACAGCTAAAATCTAGAAAGAAAGTTGAACCTTTTTGCTCTCTCTTTGTGGGTAATTTGTTTCCAGATGTGTAATTTTGTCATTAGCTTAGCTTAACAAGAAGCAAGCTTTTGCAATTATTAGTGCTTCTCCACTTCCTAGTTTTAGTGAAGGCCATTAGAGAGTTGTGGTCTCCTGGAATGGTATTGTAAAATTGACTACAATTCGACACAGGATACTTGCATTATTACTACATTAAACATCATTTTTAGAACTAATTATATAAATTTTAACTTTTTTGTTTAAATGAATTGCTTTTTTTTAGTTTTTAATCGAGTACTTTCTTCATCCAGACTCCATTAATTGCTCATGTTTTCGTCAAATGTACTTTGACTTTTACTAAACGCAAATTGCAATGTTGGTACACGAGCTTTTAATTTCTCTCATTCGAGTATATGATCTTTATTTGTTTTTTGTTTGTACACCAACTTTTTTTTATTGTGCTAATAAATACTTCCATAAAACAATAAGTATGGGGGCCATGCACTCCATAATTTAATATTTAAAATATGATTTGCAAAGTTGCATATGAAGATTTTGAATTTAAAAGAATTTCTCCTAAATATATCAGCGGATGGTGTGTACAAAATTAAACAGGAAAAAAACATTAATTTTGAGATTTTGATTGGAGAATACCCCAATTGCACTTGAAAATAATTATTGATAAGATAGGGACTATATTTAAACAAAAAAATACTTGAGGTGAAACTATGGTCTCATTTGTAATGTTTGGTACTGTATTACAAAAGTATTTTAAAAAAATATATAATGTTTTTAAAATTAATATGATTTTAATATTTTTAAATTATTTTGATATATTTATTTTTAAAATAATTTTTTAAAAAAACAATATTATTAATATATTTTTTTTAGTGAAAAATATTTTAAAAAACAACCGTAACCATACTTTTAAACACACTTCCAAAAAATTATTAAATTAAAAGTTACTTAGCTATAGTAAGTTATTAAATTAATCATTTAAAATTTTCAATTATTTTTCAATATAATTTAAACTAATAGCATTAACCTGTTGTAACATGTCTATTTCGAGGCCATATGAGAGCATCACAGTACCTGGTGTTACGTGCCATTTAGTTTAATTTTTTCATTAAAATTAAGAGTATGTTTGTATTCTCGGAAAAAATCTATGAAATGTTTTTTACCATTCCTTGGTATAAAAAAAATACTAAAAAACAATTGTGTTAATTTAAAGAAAAGTATACTTAACTTCGCATTGAGGATAAAAAAATATTTTATTTTATACCACCAACTCACAACATATTATTACTTAGCTAATTTAATTACTACTATTAACATTACCATTATTATTATTATTATTATATTACCAGCATAATTATTATTGCATTATAATAATATAATGTTACTACCACTACAACAATAATCATTATTAATAACTTTATTAGTAACAAAATAATTTTTACTATACAACCATTATTATCATAATTAATATTATAACTATCACAACCATCATTATATATTCTTTTATCATAATTTTTTGTATTCATTATCATTATTTTTATTATAAATTTTATAATTTTTTATATTTTATTGTTATCAACAACAAAAATATTTAATAGAAAAATCATTTTTAACATGTTTAAAATATGAATAAAATGACTCATTTTAAAAAATATTTTTCTAGAAAAAATTATAAAAAAAAGTTACCCCTACGATCCAAATAATGATCCTTACCTGGTGAGATCATTGTCAACTGGAAAGTGATATTTGGCAACCAACAAGAAAGTTTACTTAGTGGATGCAGTCTCAGCCAAATCGTTGTAGATCTTGTAACAAAAATATAATACTTCCCCTTTCCTAGGAAATTTCAACTACCACAAGAGTTCAAAAAAGAAAAATAAAAATAAAAATGTTTTTTTAATAAATTTCTAGTGAATTGTTTTTAAAACATAAAATTAAAGATGGCACATATCACTAAAAATTATATTTTTTATTTTTTATTTTTCATGCCTGAAATATCATTGTAAGAAAAACCTTTTATTTAAAAAATATTAAATTAAAATATATAAAAATAAAAGCAATTATTATTATAATTTTAAAATTTAAATAAAAAATCAATTTGGGACAAAACTTGAGTAATGAATAAGAAAGGATCTACTTTTTTTTAAAAAAAGAGATCAAAAGAACATCTTTTTAACAAAAAACAATAATAGGTTTTTTACTATAGTTTTAATGGGGTTTTACACCTGAACACGAATTAACTCAAGTTTTTTTGAAATAGGTTATGTCAAATATTTCTCTATTTTTTAACTTAAATTGATTCATATTCTAGGTCAATCAAGTCCTGAATTAGCTTATCAGGACTGTTCTAGTTTTATAATTAAAGTTATTATACTACTTAATATAAACTAATATAAAAAATATTATCTAAATATCTTTTAAAATATATAACTTCAATAATAATACTTCTTGAAGGTAGAATATAACTTTTTATATTTTATAATATCTTATTCACCATCAATCAAATAGAGATACAAAAATTATCATTTTTATCTTATATATAATTACAAATATAATTTTATTACATTCTCCAGTTATATTTTGTCTTATCTATTTTTATTATTTTTATCTCAGAACAATAACGAAAAAAAATTGCTAGAATGCCACTTTTTATATATATATATATATATAGCCATTTAATTCGAATCAATACAATACAAAGACAATCTGGTAAATTTCCTCAATTGGAGTTCGGTCAATATTTTCCCCAAATTAGGCTGTCTCTATTTTTTACAATTATCCATTTGAGTAGATGCATTTATCTTTTTGTCTGGCTTGGAGCTATGGTAAGTTTTTTTTCAAAGATATGATCATTTTAAAATACAAACCATTCTTCATATATATATAAAGTACTTTTTATAGGAATTACAACAAAAAATACCACCAGGCATTCAAACCAAACACCCCCTCAATTTTATATAGCAAAACCAGCAGCCGTGGAATAAAGCGGCCGCCTGGTGCCTAACATTTAGGCAATTGTCAATTTCAATGGGCAAACATCAACGACATTTTCTCTTTAACATCTAGGTTGGTGGTACCCGAGATGAAACTCATTCTGTCTAGAGTTATGACTCAGTGGGTTTTCTTCTTTTTATAAAAAATAATGTTTTAAAAATTCAAATTATTTTTAATAAAAAAATTAAATCAAACCAAACTCAATAAAAAATAAATAAAATTACAAAGTTTATTTAAAAATATAAAACAATGAAGTAAAAAAAATAATAAATAAATAAAAATGTTAAGTTGTATTAACTTTCTCATAATCCATGTTATTATATTAAAAACATCCTATCTAAAATCATGAAATTTAATCTTTAACTAATTAAATTTTAAATAAAAAATTAAATAAAAAAATTTAAAATAAAAAATAATGTTATTAACAGCAGTTTTTTATACTCAGTCTTCTTGTACCAGCCCACGATGCCAAGTTAAGTTAAATAACAGTTAAGCACCTTTACCGTTGCTTTCCATAGATAGAGAGAAACAATAAACAAATAAATAAGAAAGTATTTCTTTGCTAATTAAAAAACTCACCACGACGCCCATTATTCATTAAAATATACAAAAATAAAGGCTCACCATTACCTTTTCTGTTCTTTCTTCTTCTTTTTTAATAAAAACATAGAAGCGTACGTTATGAGAACTCTAAAGGTCAAAACATCATGATCGCTTGGTCCACGGGTTGTTAATTCATTGAAAAGCAAGGGTAAACCTTTACGCGATAGAAATCATCTTTACCGCTCGCTCAATTCTAGGTCAATTAAGCCCCGAATTAGCTTATCAGGACTGTTCTAGTTTTATAATTAAAGTTACTATACTACTTAATATAAACTAATATAAAAAATATTATCTAAATATCTTTTAAAATATATAACTTCAATAATAATACTTCTTGAAGGTAGAATATAACTTTTTATATTTTATAATATCTTATTCACCATCAATCAAATAGAGATACAAAAATTATCATTTTTATCTTATATATAATTACAAATATAATTTTATTACATTCTCCAGTTATATTTTGTCTTATCTATTTTTATTATTTTTATCTCAGAACAATAACGAAAAAAAATTGCTAGAATGCCACTTTATATATATATATATATATATATCCATTTAATTCGAATCAATACAATACAAAGACAATCTGGTAAATTTCCTCAGTTGGAGTTCGGTCAATATTTGCCCCAAATTAGGCTGTCTCTATTTTTTACAATTATCCATTTGAGTAGATGCATTTATCTTTTTGTCTGGCTTGGAGCTATGGTAAGTTTTTTTTCAAAGATATGATCATTTTAAAATACAAACCATTCTTCATATATATATAAAGTACTTTTTATAGGAATTACAACAAAAAATACCACCAGGCATTCAAACCAAACACCCCCTCAATTTTATATAGCAAAACCAGCAGCCGTGGAATAAAGCGGCCGCCTGGTGCCTAACATTTAGGCAATTGTCAATTTCAATGGGCAAACATCAACGACATTTTCTCTTTAACATCTAGGTTGGTGGTACCCGAGATGAAACTCATTCTGTCTAGAGTTATGACTCAGTGGGTTTTCTTCTTTTTATAAAAAATAATGTTTTAAAAATTCAAATTATTTTTAATAAAAAAATTAAATCAAACCAAACTCAATAAAAAATAAATAAAATTACAAAGTTTATTTAAAAATATGAAATGATGAAGTAAAAAAATAAATAAAAATATCAAGTTGTATTAATTTTCTCGTAATCCATGTTATTATATTGAAAACATCTTATTTAAAATCATGAAATTTAATCTTTAACTAATTAAATTTTAAATAAAAAATTAAATAAAAAAATTTAAAATAAAAAATAATGTTATTAACAGCAGTTTTTTATACTCAGTCTTCTTGTACCAGCCCACGATGCCAAGTTAAGTTAAATAACAGTTAAGCACCTTTACCGTTGCTTTCCATAGATAGAGAGAAACAATAAACAAATAAATAAGAAAGTATTTCTTTGCTAATTAAAAAACTCACCACGACGCCCATTATTCATTAAAATATACAAAAATAAAGGCTCACCATTACCTTTTCTGTTCTTTCTTCTTTTTTTTAATAAAAACATAGAAGCGTACGTTTGAGAACTC